TCACCTCTGTGCCCTGTACCTCCATGGAATTTATAAGACAAAGTACCATATCTCAGTAGGACAACTGACCAGAAGAAATGTAAGAGAAAATAAATTGAGATGTGTTGAGGATATACAGCTAATATATAGAAACTGCACGTTTCTGTGGCTAAGGGTACTTCTGAAGTCTGAGAGATAATGCCTGGGACATCATGTTCATTATGATTTCAGGGTGCAGATAGGTGTTACAGTTTTTGGCAGAGGCGTTTTACTGTTATTTTGACTGGTGTGCGGTGACTGTAACTTAAAATATTATCAAGTATGAGGTAAGGTGGCATCAGTGTTTGTGCTGCTCTGAGTACAAGTTGCTGCACCTTTGTGTGATCAAGTTGTTATAATGTGTAAAACTCACTTTATTTCAGCAACAAATTGCTCGTCCTTCTCAAGAAGAAAAGGTAGAAGAAAAGGTAGAAGAGGAAAAAGCAGAAAAAGCAGAGAAAAAAGAGGAGGAAAAGAAAGATGAGGAGGAAAAGGATGAGAAGGAGGAATCTAAGTAAGTATATGTACTGAAAATGCATTAATTCACTCTAGATTGCATTTTTTTTGCAAAGATCAGAACAGGATTCGCATTAGCCTGATAGTGAAATCTGGACTGAAAATTGTTCTTATTTAGGTTTGGTTTTGTGCATCAAACAATTTTTTGGGGCGTACCGATTTCTCTGTCGTGCTGAACTAATCAGACTAGTGGAAAAAGCCATGGGACTATTTTTTTACACATGTAATAATTTTCATATCTTGTTGGTTTGGGTTTTTTTCATATGTTCTATCACAGTGTTTGTATTTTTTTGAGGTTGATAACATAATGTATCTATATTATTCTCTAGAAACTCCAAATTGTGGGCAGTAAGTGAATTTGTTTCACTAAAGGCATCTTTTGGGTTTGTGCAGTTTTCTTTGAGGTTTGGTTGTGGGGTTTTTTTACATCCATATTCAGGAATATCTGCCCATAATGCCTTTCTGAATGTGACTGAATTATATTTTAACTACTCCCAGAGAGAATACCAAAGAAAAGGACAAAACTGAAGTTGCACCGGAGGAAACGGAGGAAAGGGAGCAGGCTGCTCCAAGGGGCCGCAAAACTGCCAATAGTCAAGGTCGTCGTAAGGGCAGAATCACCAGATCGATGACAAATGAAGCTGCACAGGCCAGTGCTGCTGCAGCTGCAGCCACTGAAGAACCACCACCGCCTCTTCCACCCCCTCCAGAACCTTGTGAGTAGCATTTATGGGACGCCCAGGGACCCATCTGGTCATCAGGCTCTTCGCTGACATAAGGCTATTTTCTGTGCGTGCAGTGTACTTTTTTTTTTCTCTTTTTTTAGTATTAAATCTTTATTCTTAGGCCTGCTTATAATTTTGTGACTGTGTGGTACTGTTAAACTTCACAAATATAACTTCATGAATAGTATATGTGTAATAAAATGACTGTTAGAACCATGTAGGGGGAAGAAAAAAGGCAGTTCAGCCTTTCTATCATGACTACTTTTTCTCTGTTTGCAGGATTAATGGTGGATCTGTGGAGATCCAAATGTCTGACACAAATTGACTTACAGGCTGTAGCTCACAGAGGTTATTGTTAAATAAGTAGGCCTGGTATTTGAGTGCTTTGTGGAGTTTCATAATCTGAAACAGATCCAAAAAGTTGTTTTTGCATTAGATGGCAAGAGACTTTAAAATAAAATGTTACCTTCTTGGCACGTATGATTAGAAAAGACACTGTCTCTGGCTGCGTTTCCGAAAAGGCTGACATAATTGGTGGTGGTGCAGAAATACTAGCAAATATAATACCTTGTGGCTAGTGAATAATTACCCAGGGTGGCAGGGCAGTTGTTTTCCTTGCAGTGCTCTGCTGTGGCAGTTTGTTGCTCTTACATCTTCAACTAGATAGTTACAGGCAGCTATTCTAGGATTTGTTACAGCTCTCTTGTTGCTCAAGTATTCTGCACATCCTAAAGAACAGAGTAAGTGGGCAAGTGAGTTCTCCTTTAGCTGTAGACATCAGAGGCTGTGTTAGACATTCTTGCTTGGTTGGTATGATGGGGTTTTGTCAGCAGCTAGACTAAGGCAAAAGTTTGTTTTGTTTTGTTTTTTTTTAAACCGTTTTTGCAAGGTCTTCTGGAAAATTCAAAGTAGTTTCTCAGTGAATAGAATACTTTATAGCGTCCTACTTCTGTTTGTTGATGGAAGTTGTTAAAGGGTCCGTGTTGCGTGCTATGCATAATGGCAGATTTTACGAAAAGGAAGTGGAGGCTGTTGCAGAATAATGCCATTCTGAAATTTAAACAGAATGATATCAAATTCAGAGAAGTGAATGAAAAATGTTTTTTGTTGAATCATATTTAGTTTCTTGCTTGTTTTCACTTAACTACCTTTTTGTTTTCTTTGATTTTTCTCTGTCCAGTAGGAGACTCGGTGAATACAGGAATAGTAGATTTCTTGATACCCACTAATCAATAAAAGACCATTTCTGTCCTTTCCACAGCAGCCAGTGAAATAAGATGCTTATAGCACGTTGGATTGCTGCTTTTAGTAGTTGGTGGTAATTATGAACAGTTTAAATAACATTTTAGTGGTAAATACATCCAAGCTACTTACAAGTCTTCCTTGACAGGTAATTAATCACAGTTTTGTAGGCAGAATAGTCTTGGAACAGTTTGCTCTGCTGAGATTGTGGTAGTTCCTACTATATCTCTAACTTGGTTTAATGAAGACCGACTACTTCCCACTGACAAGAGCAGCTTTCCCAACTGACTTGAACAAGCCTTAATATAAATAGATTATTAGTTGGTGCCACAATGGTGAATCCTGGTCTTTGCTCTGATCAGTGTCTTTGTTTCTCTTTCAGCTTCTGCAGAGCCTGTGGAGACATCCCGCTGGACAGAAGAAGAAATGGAGGTTGCTAAGAAAGGTAAACTTTTTACAGTAATTTACTGAATTACTGAATACCAGTGCTGTGATTATTTTGCAATACTATGCTGAATGAATAATTTGAGATTTGCTGGTTTGGTGGGGTTTTTTAAAAAAAAAAAGAGAAGCAAACAGACAAAATCAGTTTTTTGAGACTCACATTGACTTTTTTCATACGGGCTACTTAGAACTGTTTGATGTTGTACTTGGTCCACGCAAGTCTGTGAAACAGGTGTGAAGGTATGTATGTCATATGTAAATTTTCAAATCAATGTGTTTGTAAGTGTCAAAAATTCCTTTTGTATAAGACGTTTTCATAGAAAAGCTAATGTAGTTTATAACTTGTCTAGTCATTTGGCAGATACTGTTACCTGTAGATTTCATGCATAAAATCAGTATTTTAGCAGAGGTGTTACATATTAGCAACAGCAGAGTTAAGTTTGAAGGCTCCATAAGCAGACATTCAGTTTGATACAGCTTTTTTCACCCCAGAAGTAGTTATCAAATACATTGTCATAGTGAGAGTTCTTTTAGGAACAGCAATACTTCTGTATCTTACCTTCCCATAAGTGTTGTTCCATTTGTTTGGGTTTGGATAGCTGAATTATTTATAATAGTAAATATTGGTTCTTATTTGTTTTAACAGGCCTAGTGGAACATGGACGAAACTGGGCAGCAATTGCCAAAATGGTTGGGACGAAAAGTGAAGCTCAGTGTAAGAACTTCTACTTCAACTATAAAAGGAGACACAATCTGGACAGCCTCCTCCAACAGCACAAACAGAAGGTAAGTGCAGTAGGCATTAAGTATTGCACGGGGGAAAACTTGGCATCTTTCTGAAGTCGTTCATCGTGCTTCACTAAGGCTGTTTTGCAATCACCATTTGTTTCCTTTTCTACTTGTTTTTGTGTTGTGACATAAATCTCCAGATCTCCTAGAAAAGGTGGCTGATGCTCACTGACCTGTGATACTAGTCACTTCTTGCTTTAAAATGCAATAGAAAATTTTCTCTCAGATAGAATACCTCAAGAATTCTTTACTGCTCTGAAAACCACGTTCCTTATAAGTAGACCAGCAACTATAGAAGTTCAGGTTATCGCTGTAGAACAGTTATCTTGAAACAGAATAAGCACTAACTTTACAAAATGGAGCAAGAGAATTGGTAGAAGATCAGGAACTGAAAGTTTGGGACATCTGGAGTAGAATCCTGAGTGTTGGAATCCTCTAAACTGCAGTGTTGTCCTAGTCTTCTCTCGCTGAAGTGAAGGGCGTCAGTGTATGTGTTTGCTGCAGTAGCTCCATTGTCCCCTAAACATATCTCGAGACAGTGTTTTGTTCCCAAACTTTATTTTTGACAAGG